AAGCATTAAAGTGACACTAAACTCCGGAGATAAATCTTAAAAATACATTCAAGTCCCTGAACTCTGAGCAACAATGTATCTTATTTGTATCACTCGGCTGGAGATCCTCCAATCATCTCTGACACCGTCCTTCCTCCTGGAGGGGGGCTACGTCTGCAGGGAGCGGAGCAGTGTGTGTGCGTGTCATGGAGGAGAGAATACCCTGTGTGTGATGTAGTCACCGCTTCAAGCTCCCCCACCTGGAATGGACTACAATCTCATGTTTAGTTTACCAATTTGTACCGAGATTGTAGTCCATCCTGGGGGGGAGCTTGAAGCGGTGACTACATCACACACAGGGTATTCTCTCCTCCATGACACGCACACACACTGCTCCGCTCCCTCTCATAATGTCCTCTTCCCTATTATAAGTGTACAGGAGAATCACCCTCCACTCCCTCTCAGTGTCCTCATCCCTATGAATGGTGTATAGGAGCCGACACATCGTTTATGTTTACAGCTTCCCCTCCCCCGGCTCTCAATGAGTATGCAGCGGCATACTGGTGCCTGGGGCCATGTCCATTTAGTCATTATGTATTTAAATACTCACACAAACATTTACATGCGTAAGGCTGCATAGGCAGCTGTCTGAGGGTGCTGGAGTATGTTACACACATCTGACCCCTGCACTCCATACGTTACATACATCTGACCCCTGCACTCCATACGTTACATACACCTGAGCCCTGCACCCATACGTTACATACACCTGACCCCTACACCCATACATTACATACACCTGAGCCCTGCACCCATACGTTACATACACCTGACCCCCTGCACTCCATACATTGCATACACCTGAGCCCTGCACCCATACGTTACATACACCTGAGCCCTGCACTCCATACATTACATACACCTGAGCCCTGCACTCCATACGTTACATACACCTGAGCCCTGCACCCATACGTTACATACACCTGACCCCTACACCCATACGTTACACACACCTGAGCCCTGCACCCATACGTTACATACACCTGAGCCCTGCACCCATACGTTACATACACCTGAGCCCTGCACCCATACGTTACATACACCTGAGCCCTGCACCCATACGTTACATACACCTGACCCCT